GCCAGCAGAAGGTATTATAATCAATTTGTTCCGCCCATGTTGTCCTATACAACTAAGGGTAAAACTTTTTGGCAACCAGAAATTTGGAGAGCCCTTGCTGCCACCTCCCTTGTTACTCTATGTCTGCCAGAAAATGATTCCACTTATTCTGTGCTGGCTTGTTTACCCTCCCCTTATGTTTTTTTGTTTACTAATAACTCTAAAAGGCTTCATATACAGATGAACTATTCAGGTGGACCCAATATAGTCTACTGTGAACAATGCATGCTCTCGTCCTGCCTAACCTCTCAATATAATATTTGTTCCCTTGTGGTGCTGCGACGCCCACCTTACCTTATGGTGCCGGTCGCAGTGAATACCTATTGGTATGACAATTACTGTCTAGCCGTTCAGCAACAACTGCAAGATTTCATGCGATCCTGATGGTTTGCAGGACTACTTATTCTAGGGATTTCAGCCTTAATAACCACAATTACCTCTGTCACTATGGCAGCGATATCATTGACTCAACAGGTACATACTGCTCAATATGTCAATGATATGTCAAAAAATGTTTCTTTAGCTCTAGATATGCAAGAATTTATAGATAGAAAATTAGAAGTAAAAATAGATGCCCTAAAAGAAGTAGTCATGCATACTGGAACTGAGTTGCAGGCTTTAAGGATAAAGTTAGCACTATCCTGTCATGCCGACTATTGATGGATCTGTGTAACACCCCTGAAAATAAATGATACAGATTACAATTGGGAAAGGATTAAAAATCATATTTCAGGTGTATGGAATAGCTCCAGCATTAGTTTAGATCTTAGAAAGCTTCATGGTGAGATAAAAACCTTAGAACATTCCTGGACTTTACTGCTGCAGGAGCTGCTAATGAATTTTTTCATACCTTTTCTAACTTTATTACTGGAAAAAATATCAACTATCTTCAGTTATGCTGCTGTAGCAGCCCTCGTCCTACTTCTCATTATAATCCTTCCTTGCATTGTCAGAACTCTCCGGCAGAACACTGAGAAGCTCGTGACTGAGATCCATCTGGCTGTCTTAAAAAATAAAAAAGGGGGAGATGCCAGGAGCCAGCACACGAGATCCCACCCATGACAAGGTCATGAGGAGAGGCCTGACAAGCAAGGCAGATCAGGACTTCAGGGGTTTCGAAAAGCTGCCCCGGCGCCCACCTTAAAGATGATCTCTGTCTTTCTGATGCTTGCTACATCAGACCACTCCCTAATTTCTGTGACACGGGTAGAAGGCCTTCCCTGATTTCTCTCCAAACAGAATCAACCTAGAACTTTAATTAATATGTCCGCCTGACGGTGGTATCCTATAAGATTATCCAGGATGAAAGGAGTGTTTCCATTTAGACCCCTTTGCTGGCATTCTAGCCTGCTTGGCAAATGCGTACTAATGCACATGACTGCTCACAACACCTTAATCATGAACAGCATAAAGAACCTGATCACACTAAAGGCCTTAATAGGCACAGAGCCCTTCGGGGGGTGAGGAAGCCCTATTAGAGAACACAAAAATATTATTCTAAAAGTGGTTAGAGTTAAAGATTTAGAAAAATAAGAGTTTAGAATTGTTCATCTTAACCAAGAATGCTAAACAGGGGCTGCCTCACCGGAGCTGCAGAGTCTTTGTGTGGTAAACCTTTTAGATAAATTTAACTGATAACTTCTGCAAAAGGACAGACCTTTGTGTTCATTAAAGAATAGATTATGGAAAACAGCTTTGCTTTCACCTAGGTCACAAAATGTCAATAGGCCCCAAGGCCAGAAGATAATGTATAAGACTCTCACAAAGAAGTTGCAGAAAACACCCTGGTTTCATGAAGGATAAGCTGATGTAATATTAAACTATCTTCCCCTTAAAAATGTACTAAAATAGAATATAAAAGCTACGGTAAAAAAATAAAGATTTGCCAGACTTTACTACACCCCTCCAGTCTGGTCTCTCTCCCCTTTTCTCGCCGTCGCCGTTCATCCTGAGGGTACCCCTGGAGCCTGCTGAGGCTGGACCCCAGCACTGGTTGGCCATTTGTATATCTTCTTTGGAGAAAGGTCTATTTAGATCTTCTGCCCTTTTATTGATTTGAGTTCTCTTTTCATTTCATTGATGTTTTCCTTTGCTATGCAAAAGCTTTTAAGTCTGCTTAGGACCCATTTATTTAAGTTTGCTTTTATTTCTTTTAGCCTTGGGAAAATATTGCTATGATTTATGTCCAAAATGTTTTGCCTATGTTCTCTTCTAGGAGTTTTATGATGTCATGTTTTGTATTTAAGTCTTTAAACCATTTAGAGGTTATTCTTGTGTATGCTGTGAGGGAGCGTTCTAATTTCCTTGGTTGTTGTTGTCCAGCATTCCCAACACCACTCCCTGAGAGACTGTCTTTTCTCCATTGTATATTTCTGCCTCTTTTGTCATACATCAATTTATTGTAGGTATATAGGTTTATTTCTGACCTCTCTTGTCTGTTCCATTGATCTTCGTGTCTGTTTTTGTGCCAGTTCTAAGCTGTTTTGATTACTGTAGCTTTGTAGTATTTTCTGAAGCCTGGGAGGGTTATGCATCCAGCTGTGTTCTTTTTCCTTGGGATTGCTTTAGCAGTTGCTTTGTGGTTCCATGTAAATTTTAGGATTATTCGTTCTAGTTCTGTGAAAAATATCATGGGTATTTTGATTAGGATTGCATTAAATCTGTAGGTTGCTTTAAGTAGTATGGCCATTTTAACAATATTAATTTTTCCAATCCAATCACATGGGATATCTTTCCATTTCTTTGAACCATCTTTAATTTCCTTTATCAATGTTTTAAAGTTTTCAGCATTTAGGTCTTTCACCTCCTTGATTAAGTTTATTCCTAGGTATTTCTTTTGGACACAATTTTACACAAGAGTTTGTTTTTTTGCTTTCTCTTTCTGATATTTCATTGTTAGTGTAAAGAAATCCAAGCATGCTATTAACAGAATAGTTTCTTGAGCAAAGAAGGAGATTTTCTTTGTGTGCTTGGGGGAAGCGGGGTGATGCTCAAATAAATGAATGAATAAATAAATTAAATAACCCACATTCTATTAGGGGCTATTATCTCCTGCAGACCTATGAGAGATAAATGTATCCTCAGGTCCTTGACCCATGTGATCCCACCAACTCTCAGGCAGAAGGATGGGAAGGAGGAGCTGAAACTCTTGATACAGTCCACCTCAGAAGAGGGAGAGAAGTGGAGAAGGCAGCTGCTCTGCTGGTTATACCAACTGAATCCAAAGCCAAGGGGAGCAAGGCCACTTGGTCCCCTGCCCAAAAAATCAGGGACTATAAGGGGTCACTCATGCCCTGGCAGAGGGATGCATGGGTAAGTGGGAAAGTCTGGCTCCCTGCCCATTTCTAGTTGCCAAGGAGGGGGGAAGAAAGGTGTAGTTTGTGGTGGCAGGAAGTGGTTGGCTCAGGGCTGAGGAGAACAACAGTGGGGACCACTTCAGTGGAGTCACAGAGCTGCAAAGAGGGGAGACTATGGGGTCTGAGGCAAACATCAGATCCCACAGAAATGCTGGGGTGTGGTGGCACCAGGCTTTAGAAGTGAACCTGGAAAAGGAGTCCTACGCAAAATGGGCCTGACTGTGGGGACAGACTCTGAGAGCCAAGGAAGTAAAGCTTTAAATGACAGCACCTGGGACAATAACCTGAGGGGCCTATTGCAAAGGGGCAGGAGATCCCAGAACATTTTAGTTCTCTTTTATCAGAGAGCTAGAAGAGGAAGCACTGAGGGAAGGGAGTCACTGATGGAAGTGAAACTGAACATCCTAGAGTAGTAGGAAGGGCCTAGCCTGAATATCTGCCTCTGTGGGAAAGGGAAAGCAATCCTAGGACAGGTCAAGGGCACACACCTGTCTGCTAACTGCCAGGGCCTGCTTTGCCTCCAGCATGAGTCAGGAGGAGGGATCACTGGAGACAGACAGTTCGCCCTGCCTGGCAGGGTTTTGGCTCTGCCCTGCAGGGGGTGCCATGACACAGGACAGCCATGGGCCCAGGGCTGACGACCTGTTGCTAAATCCAGACTCCTGAGATGCTAGTTACCCTGTCTCTGACTGCAGCTGCAGTTGGCTTTTTTTGGACCCTGCGTCATGGCCTGAGAGGGTCTTTGGGGATGAAGGGAACATGCTGAGCCCACTCTTGGCCAGGATACTAGCAAGTGCAGGGCTAAAAGCCACTTGTGGTGGATCTCCAAGGGGAACAGAACTCTAGAGGACTTGGGGTCCTGCCGTCACTTCCCGAAGCCCAGATCTCTCTTCCATTACTCCCCACATCAGAGGTTGACCTAGACTAGTGATGCTCCTTAAAAACAGGGACACAAAGAGAAGAAATGGTGAAGGCAACCTGGCATCTCAGCTGCCTCCTTGGTCCAGGGCTACTGTTGGGACTATCCAACCAGATCCCAAGCTCCTCTCTAGCACCTCTCCCCATCCTGTGGACTCGGATGGTGAAAACTCCCAAAGTGGTTTGCTGGCATAAATTTAAAAAAGATTAACCTACTTGGGGTGGCGGGGGAGGGGGGATGGACTTGTTGCTCACAAATATTTTCATACACTAACTCATTTCAACCTCATAGTAATGTACACAGGGTATTGCGATTCTCTGAGAGGTTAAAGATAATTAACTAGACACCTAGCTTCCTAGGTACAGACCATGTTTTATTGCCAATGCCTGGCATATAAAAGGTACTCAATTAGTGTGGAAGGAATGAAGAAATGCATGGATTGTCCCAGGTCACCTGGCAATGACAGGTGGTCCGGGAAGAAGCTTCAGCCTCCCAGCTCAAACCTGGGGTCCTTTCTGGCCGGTCCCCGTTTCCTTCCACGCCAAGATGCCGGCAGGAGTGGCCCAGAGGACCGTGAAGTGGGGAGGGCGCTGGTTGCGAGAACAACGCAGTTTGGGGATGGGCTCGCTTCTCAGGCACAGTTGAAGCATAGTTAGGGGAAAGCATCGCGCTGAGCTTTCTCCAGTCTACTCTCTCTGCTTAGGGGGCCGAGGCCTGGTGGGAGCTCTACGCGACAAAAACGACACTGAACTCGCGTCAGGCTGCCCCCTCCTCCGGCTCGTCGTGGTGACCTCCAGGGCAGAGAAGGGCTGACCCCGAGCCTTGCGAAGCGACCGCGGTCCCGGTCCAGGTGCGGCCGTGCGGCCGCTCAGCGCCCCCTGCTGCCGGGCAACGGGGCCCAGGCAGTCCCGCCCGATGGCCCGCCGGCGACACAGGCTTCCCGCGGCCGCGGCCCGACGCGGGCTCCCCGGCCGGGGGCGGGATTCGGGGCTGCAGGAGGCGGAGCCGAGCGGGCGGGGAGTCTCCGAGAAACTCGCGGCCTTCGGCGGCTTCCCGGCCCGGGAAGTGAGCCGAGGTCGGGAGGCCGCAAACAGGAAGTCGGGCTGTAACAAAGAGCTCGAGGAGGGCGGGGGGCGCGGAGCCACGGGACCTCCGGGGCGCCCGGGGCTGCGGCAGGTGGAGGGCTGACCCGGGCCAGCGCGCCGCACCTGCCTCTTCCGCCGCTGCTCGGGGCTCCAGGCCGGCCGGGATCCAGCAGTGCCGTGCGCCCTGGGCGCGAGGGAGGGCGCGACCGCTTGGGGAAGGCCACTGGGACCTCCCAGGCGCATCCTCTCCCCGGGAAGGGACACTCACAGTTCCCCGAGTGAATCACTTCCATCCCTTCCCGGAATGCAGCGGGCCACGTGGGGCGGAGGGCTGGGTCGTCATCCTGCGGACCCGCGGGGAGAGAGTGGCAGGGAGGAGGACCCTTGTGGGTCCTCGTAAGAAGTGGAGCAGCCGCACAACCTGAGTTGTCTAGTGGCCTCATCTAGCCCTGGACGGGGCGGGGGAGGGGGAGAATGGGGTGGTGAGGTAAGAACCACTGTCCTTTTTTTCTATCCCCTGACCAATCTGGCTCTGAGGCAGGAGAGGGAACCCTAGCTGAACCACCCTTCTTCACAGCCTCTCCCTACCTCACCTCCCACCGGTGATATCCAGGTGGTTACCAGCCAGTAAGCCCTGGAAAAGCCACTGTCCTCAGAACTGGAAGTCACCGTGGGTTAGGCCTTCCTTTAGACGGGGCACTGCCTCCAGGCTAAGGAACTGCTATGCTCTGAATTCTCTTGTGAAATGCCAGTGCAGATTAAGCATGGGTGTTTTGATAAGCCATGAAGAACACTTCACAGTGAGTCCACAGCTATCATTTGGCTTTGTGTCTGCCAAGCCTGGGGCTTCTTGTGTACACATGAACACTCCATCAGGAAAAACTTGGGTACCTTACCTATGAGAAGGGGCCAAACCCTCAGGGAGTGACCTGGACATCCCAGAGAAAGAACGGCTTCCACTGTGGCCTGTTCACACCCCAAGTGCCTGGCGCATGTCAGTAGCGGTGGAACCTGGCACAAGCTATGGGGTGAAGCTTCCCAGGCCAAGTGCATGAAGAGATCCTCTCTTTCCCCAGAAAGCTGACTCGGTATCAGATCGGGTGAGTGGGTTTGACCAGCCAGCTCCCCTTCAGGACTCTCTTTCTCTGAGTACCTGGCAGCCCGTGCAGCCCAGCACAACACCGTGGTGTGGACGTGCAGGCCCGCGGGTGTCCTACCTGTCCCCCACATGGGAGCCTCGTCATCTCTCCTTCGTGTCCCAGCCCAGTTTCCCCCGCCCCCCAGGGCCCGGGAGCTGCTTTCCTGTTTCATTTTGGGCAGGAAGAGTGAGGTCGTGTTGTTCTTCCCCCTGCTGCCGGCTCGGGCTGTGGGAACGGTTCCCTGAATGCTTTCCTGTTTGATACCCTGTGTGTGCAGTGAGGGGAACAGAGAGAAGTGGTGAGGTGTGGAACGTGTGCACTTGGGTGAGTGTGGACGAGCCTCGGTCTCTCGCTCCCTTGTATCAGGCATAAGTACCCAGATTAGGGGTGAGTATGCTGTGTGTGTCAGGGAGAAGGAGGACAAGGGAAGCAAGAAGCGCTGCATGTACTTGGTCTCCACTGGGAGCATCTGCTGGGTCTATTTTGCTTTACTGGACAGCCTGAGAGCTAGGAGCATCTGCTCAGCTTTTTGTCGGTGGCTCATTTTTCATCACTTGCTCTCCAGGGATATGTTTGTGGCTGTAGAGAGAAGACTGTGGCACTCTAGGGACCATCTTGAGCCTTAGAGGAAGCTAGCCATGAAGTCGAGACTGGAAACTCCGTCAAAAAAAATAGTGCCTCAGCCAGAGAAACCCGGACTCAGGGAAGCCTCCCTCCTCTTCCTCATCCCCTCTCTACAGTCTTCAGTAAACTCTAGAAGCTCTGGGCAGAACAGGTGCAGTGCGCCAGCTCTCTTGCCCAGCTGCAAGGAGGACAGACCCAAGGCAAATCCCCTGGCACAAAGACCAGTGCCTGGCCAAGGCTTAAAAAAGAGCAGAGTGCCAGTCCATCTAAAACCCTGCAGCAGCAGGAAGAAGGGCCCAGACATTATCGTGGTTCAGAGACCTGGTGCTCTGACAAGAGACTCCTTCTGAAGAGAGGAAGACTGGCTGGATTGTCTCCTTCCCATGAATTCCTGTATCTCCCAGGCTGACTAGGGTGTCCATAAGCCTTTTCAGACTAAGAGAGAAAAGAGCGGTAGAATCAGGTCAGGGGGCATATCCCCCAAGGAATGGTGGGAGCAAGAGGGGGCTGCAGCCAACCTCAAGCCGTCATGCAGAGAAGGCTGGCCCAGGCTGGGGACTAGATGGGTGAAGCCAAGTTCCCCAAGGACTAGAAGAGGACAAGGGCCCGGAGCACAGCAGGCCAATCCCAAGTGCATGCACAGGTCCTGGGAGTTCTGCGGGGGAGGTGGGGGGAAGCCAGCAGAAACATGAGAAGGGGAGTCAGAAGGATTCCCACTCTGTCATCACAAAGACAGGACCCAAGAAGTAATAAACTCCTGTACACATTTGTTCCATATTATAAATACACATTATATACAAAATAATGTTATAAAATGTAGAAAGGTCAGTGCTTCTGATTCTTAAATTATTGAAATACTAGACTCCAAAATAAACTACAAAAAAAAAATAAAAACTCATATTATTGATTTCTGAAGATCGGCTTCAAGGGTAGTCTGGGGGCAGTAGTGGGTGTGGGCAGAGCCCAGGCTCAGGCCGTTGGAATGGGCTTCAAGGAGGGAAGGATCTGGGTGTCCACAGCACCCAATTTCTCCCTCACCAGAATTTCCATCATCTCTGCCCGGAGCTCCCTAGTTAGGCCTGGTGCCCCTGGCTGGGAAGAGGGGCAGGCCCTCCCCCATCTGCTCACAGGAGCCTGAGGCATCCAGGGCCAGAGGCTGTGGAAGCCAGGGAAGGCTTACCAATATCCTTACCCAGAGAGCCCGGGCCAGGGAGAGGATGGGGTAGTGTCAGGAGCAAGGCCCACATGCAGTCGTTAGAAGCATGGGGCAGAAAGTGCTCCTCCTCTCCACTCCGGGAGCTCACCTCACCTGCAGGGACACTCTTGCCAAGAGCTGCACCAGGTGGCTTCCCGGCTGGCGGATGGCCCTGCCCTTACTGGCCTCCTTTCTCCTCTCTGATTTGGACCCAGCTGTCGCCATGGAGCCCAGGCCAAGGCACTTTTGGAAACACAGATGCCAGTGGAAGCCAGAGCATCTCCAGGCCCCACGGGACCACTGCCCCTCCCTCTGGAAAATAGACTGGAGCCCCAAGGAGCCCTCTGAAGGCCACTGCTGGCAGGGCGGGTCCAAGTGGCACCTCTCCTCTCCTCTGTTCCCCTGGCTGGTGCGGCTGCCAATCTGATGCCAGACAGACACCCAAAGATGTGGAAGGGTACTGCATCTCTTGGCAGGTTCACAGTCTGTCCAGTTCATGCCATTCCCTCTTCCTCCTGAGAGCAGCACGTTGCATATTTAAAATGTCCCATCCAGGATGCAATGTAAACAATGCAGAAGGAAGGTCCAGCTGCTGGGGTGGAGCTGGGATGTCCTGGGGAGGCTCCTGCCTTATACCTGGGGGGCATGTGGAAAGTGAGAAAATAGGTTACCCTGGGGTACCAGCACCCTTTCCACGGCTGCCCTGGGCCTCCCTGGGAGAAGCCACTGAAGCAGGTGGGGTGAAGAGGAGGTGGGGCAGCCCTCCTGGTCTTGCAGCCCAACACATACCCATGCCTGGAAGTCTGTGCCCATGACGGGGTCAGTGAAGGAAGCCAGTGAGTAGGGGCAGGAGGGGCCCAAGGCAACCACCCTCACCCACCAGCAGCTGGGAAGCAGCTCCCGGGAGCTGGCCAGGTGCCACGGCCGCCCAGCCCAGCACTAACACAGCAGGAAGAGACTGGGCTGGCTCACCACCGCGGCTCCTGTTTCACACCCTCTGTGGCAACGAGGCCAGCAGAGATCCAAGGGCCACTGAACCAGGCCTGCCAAGGAGGGGTTCCGACCCACCCTTCAGGAGCAGCCCCTGGGGTCTAGAGTAACCAGGCCACTTTCTCATTCCCTAAAGGCCCATGCTAGAAGGGAAGGCAGGCCCATCACTCACCTCTGTGGCAATGACACATTCATTCCTCTCTTCTGATATCAAACACACAGACTGGTACATGGAGTCCCTGGGGGAGCATATGGCTGATATCCGACACTCTGGCTTTTCACTGAGGGAACACAAGACAGGCCGGTGAGGGAGAGATGAGCAGAGGGCTGGAGGAGGTGGGGCGCTAAGCTGGACCCTGGAGAGCCAAAGGGAACTGGCCAAGGTGGCTCCGGGAGAAGACACAGGGATTGGGGATACCCAGTGCTAGACTGGTAGGCAGTTGGGAACAGGCCTTGAGACAGCCACAGAGGGTCTCAGGCCCTGAAAAGGCCAGTTTGCCACTGGAGGCAAGCCATGCTGGGGGGAAATTGGAGTCACAAGTGACATAGTGTGGACATTTGACATTTGTGAATGAATGAATGAGTGAATGGGAAGGAGGGATAAAAGGAGCCTGGAAGAAATCTTATTGGATTTGTAGCCTGTCAGCGGCAAGAGCCCCTGTTTGCTTAAAAGCAGTCAAGGGCCTGGGGCCAGCCTCCAACCTGTCCTGGGGGAGCCTAGGCAGGACCGTAGGTGTGTCTCTGGGAAGCCCCTGGGCCTCCAGGTGCTGCCTACCTGTGTATCCGCAGTGGCGCCTTCTCCCCTAAGCTCTTATCACTGTGGGAATACTTCCCGGGCAGGATCCCCCGCCCCAGGAGCCCTGGGGCCAGATTATAGTCCAATGTGTGGTTCTGCTGTTTGCCACAGTTGGACTTGTCCAGGCCACAGTCTACTTCCAGCTCCTTCTTCTGGTTTGTGTTCTTGAGCTGGGCGGTGGGGATCAGGTTGTCCTTCTGGAAGTCCGACAAGTTGTTCATGGCCTCCCTGCTGCCGCCGTCGGGCCGCCTGAGCCGCAGCTGCCGCACTGCCACTGCCACCATGCACAGTAACACGAGCACCACCACCAGCCCCACGCCCAGGGACACAGCCACCCAGGGGAAGCTGGGGGGCATGCTCATGGGGAACTCGCAGCGGCTGCCCACGAAGCCATAGGGGCAGTTGCAGACGAAGTTGTCAGGAGGGAGGCCCGTGTAGCACGTGGCCCCATTGAAGCAGGGTCCTGAGGCACAGGCTTCGGCAGGCATCCGCACCTCGCAGCGCCGGCCAGAGAAGCCGGCCGGACAGGTGCACACGAACCCATTCTCCAGGTCGTGGCACGTGCCACCATGGACACAAGGGCTGCGGGCACAGTCGCTGATGTTGATCTCACAGTGGACGCCAGTGAATCCAGGACGGCAGCGGCACATGCGGTTCGGACCTCGGTTTAGGCACTGGCCCCCTATGGGTACACACGGGCCACAAGTCAGCCATCTCCAGGAAACCCACCTGCTCCCTGGAGCAGAGGGTGCCCCATCCCAGGAACCAGCTCCCAGCTCAGGTCCTCCGGCCTCCAGGACACAGCCACCATGTACAGATCCCGCTACAGAGTTCTTTGCATGAAGAGTCAGGAGACCCTGAGTTGAGGATGACCCTGGTCCTCTACGCCTCAGTGGGCTCATGTATAAAAACCACTGGCTGCTTACAGAGCTTTACAGTAGAATCAAGCAGATATGCTTCGGTTTGAATCTGAGCTGTTTCTAACTGAGGATCTGGCACCTGTTGCTTTATTTTATTTCTAAGCCTCAGTTTCCTCATATGTTAAATTAGAGAAGAATGCTATAGGCTGTCTTTTGAAGGTTAGGTAAAATAATGCATGAAGGCACGAGCCCATGCCTGGTGTATAGTAAATGCTCAAGTAAATGTATTATCGTTTCACTTAAGCGTCACAACCACATGAAAGACAGAGGACGGGTAGTATATTTTCCCACTTGGTGATGAAGAAACTGTGGCTCCAGGGAGTTAACTAGTGACTAGTCAGAGAGCAGATTCCATCTCGGCCCTTCCGGTCCCTCTCCAGCTTTCTCCCCTGCACAGTCCTGTCTGCCTGTCTCCCAGATGGTCACCAGTAGACCAAGGAGACAAAGAACAAAGACAACATATTTGGTGCCCCCCAAAATGTTGAACATTCCAGACACCTTAAGGTTATGGGTTCCCCATAGCCATGGGGCAAGGTGAGGCCTCCATGAGCCAGGCCCTCACCTGCTAGCCTTCTTCAAGGATGGACATGAGGCCTTCAAAGTCCCTTTCTCTAGCCAGGACTTCTTGGGGAGGGTCAGAGGCCACCCCAGCCAGGTCAGGACATGGGAATAGGAATGGAAGCCAGTCAGTGTGCATACCGCTTCCCCTCCAATGGCCTGCACCCACTGCTAACCTGCTCTTCTTCCAAAGCCACCCAGATGATCAACCAAGCTCTTCAGCATCCAGAACAGATACAGATCCATCTCAGCCTGCCCAGAATGACACACAAGGCCTCTCTTCTCCTCTTGTGACCCTCCCTCACCAGGAAGCTTTCTTGGCCCCGGGGCTGATCCATCAGGTTAGCAAGACAACAGGACGCACCATTGGCACATGGGTTGCTGGTACACCTGTCCACTTTCTTCTCACAGTTGGAGCCAGTGAAGTTGGGGGGGCATTCACAGGCATAGCTGGTCCCCTGGTTGCGCTCCCGACAGGAGCCCCCATTGAAGCACGGGGAGTCAGCACAACTCAAGGTGCTATGTTCGCAGTGCAGGCCATAGTAACCCGGGGGACACAGGCAGTGGTAGCCGTCCTCCTGGTCCTGGAATGAGAGCATAAAGGAGCCAAAGTCAAACCCTGGGGAGCAGGGATTCATGGCTGGGACCTAGCTCCCACCTGCCCATAGTGCCTGCACATTCACTGGCTGCCTGGGGTGGGGATGCCCGGGTACCACCTGGCCAGGGCTCTGCCTTTCTGAGCTGGCCTAGGCCTCACCTTACAGCTGCCTCCGTTGCGACAGGGGTTGCTATCACACTCGCTGAGCTCCAGCTCGCAGTCTACGCCAGTGTAGCCTGGGCGACAGGTGCAGGTATAGCTCCGCTGCCCGCTATTGGAGCACGTGGCCCCATTCTTGCACGGGGAATGGTGGGTGCAGTAGTTGAGATCTGTGGAGACAGGAACCGACTGAGCAGAGCCAAAAAATGGTCTCCACCTCCAGGCTCCATGGAGTGCAAGTTCACTGTCCATGGTTGGACCTGGCACTTCAACCCAGTCTTCCAGGTCCAAATACCCTTCTTCTTCTCTCAATGAAATCATGTATATAGAAGCATCTAGAACCACATCTGAGGAGGGCAATCAATCAAAATTGAAAAAACACAGTGGACACCTTCCTGCAGGTAAGCTCACAAACACATAAAGGTAAGGAAGAGGAGGGGACAGCAAGGCCACACGTTGAGGAGGAAGTCAGAAAATGTTTCATGGAGGAGGGGCAGCTGAGGTAAGCCTGGAAGGGGGCTGCAATTTCAATAGGTGGAAAGAGTAGAGGGAAGGCCAGAGCCACGATAGGTGGTTACCAGGCATTTTTCAAAATCGGAATGTGTTACGGGGGTATTTTGAAATATAAGTCTTTGTTTTCTTATTCGGGGAGGACAGGGAGGGAGAACCAGACAGTGCAAATACAGGGACTGTAAGGGCTATGTTTGAATAAGACGAATATATGACTGTGTCACCTGGGAGCAAATGTGGGGAGAGGAAAGAGACATGGCAGGAACCAGGTGTGTGTGTGTGTGTGTGTGTGTGTGTGTGTGTGTGTGTGTTTGAGGGGAGTGGAGGGGGGACAAAGTGAGACACACACACATGCACAAAGAATACAGGGGCTGAATTCCAAGCCCCTTGTTGCCAGCAACTCAGGGCCCAGGCAAGTTCTTTCTATCCTGGCAAGCGTCCTGCCCACCCTACCCAGGCCTATGCTGGTGTCTCCATGGCAGCAGCCACCCCATTTGACCCTGAAAATGGGAGGAACGCGCTGCAGCTGGCTATGAGGATGAAGGAGAAAAGGCTCCCTCCCCCACCACTGGGGCTGGCAGACCCCCGTACAGCCAGAAGAGTCACCGGCCCCCTGAACGCCAGGAAGACTGTGGGCTCAGGCAGCTGCCTGGCAAGTGCTACTGGGGAGAACAAGGGAGGCTGTTTCTGCCCCACTGAGAAGGCGGTTAGATGTCACTCCGCCCAGAGGTCCCCCGCACCCACAGCCTCGGGGCAGCCCATGGGCACACCCCACCAGACAGCTGTTTAGGGGAGAGCTGCTCAAACAGCCCTGGCAGGTAAGCAAACACTTAGGGGGTTAATAGGTAACTACAAGGTAGAAAGAGGAACTGAGCCCGGCACCCCTCTCTCTGGCCTTGTTGGAATTTATGAGGCCACCTTCAGGCTGCCAACTTGTCACCCTCCTGGCTTCTCCAGCCACCCTCTCTCCCTAGCACCTGAGGAAGAAGGACCCACCAGCTCATGTTAAGCCAGTTGTTAAGATCCTTCCAAGTCCCAAACTCCTTGAAGGATAATGGGAAAGTTCAGCAGTCATCAAGTAGAAAGGTCCAGGTGACAGCTCTGGTTTCCACCCCCAGCCCATCCCCTCTCTCTGCCCTGACTCACCTTGGTCACAGAACAGGCCTCCCCAGCCCTCATCACAAGTGCATTGCCAGGGGGTGCTGCAGGTGCCATGGCGACAGCCATTGTGGGGGATGCATTCGTTGCACAGGCGGCCCTGCCAGCCCGGGCGGCAGCTGTAGAACAAAAGACAAGCTGGGGGTGAGGTGAGGGCCTGGCCAGGGGACGGCTCCCCCCCTCACAGCTTCCGGTCCCCTACTCACATGCACTCTGCAGGCTTGCTGCAGTAGCCGTTCTGTTCATGACATCCAGAAAGACAGATAGCTGAGGAAAGAAAACAGGGCTGGGTGAGGGCGGGATGCCAATGACTCTGAAGTCCTACTCTCCCTCTCCTGCCCTGGGGGTGCCCCAGCTCTCCTGGGCTCACTTCCCACTCCTGGCCTCCCAAGGGAGCCATGGATGACTTAAAGAGAAATAATGGCACAGGGAAGGAGAATCCAGTGCAATAATGGGGTCTTTGTGGACTTAGCATGATGGGGAGGAACGCTAAGAAGAGAGAGGGCAGAGTCCAAGCCCATCCTAAGCATCCCCAGCTGTTCCTGAGGCCCAGTTAGTGGACAGCCCAGACCGCTCTCCAAGGGAGGCAGACTGCAGACGACAAGATGCCACTGTGTTTGTTCCGGGGACCCCCCTCCAGGCAGGTGGGAGCTTGGCTGCTTACGCTGTTCGCAGTACTCCCCAGTCCAGCCGGGCAAGCAAGACAGGCTGCCATCTGGCTGACACACGTAGTGGCCGAAGTGGTCATTGCGCTTCTTGCATAGACGTGAGCAGCTGTCCCCATAGTAGTTGTCACTGCAGATGACCCGGTAAGAGTAGCGCAGCCTTGTGAGAGGGCTGGTCTGCTCATCCAGTAACCAGTTCTGGCCCACAGCTAGGGAGCCCTGGATGGCGATCTTGCTGATGAGCGCGTCTGGTGGCAAGGCCTCTGAAGGGGCAGAGGGCCGGGTCAAGGAAGGGCAGCCAGTCCCCAAGAGTGCCAGCAACTGCTGGATCAAACCAGTTGTCCAGATGACCCCCACCTGCCAGCAAGCACAGGCCAGAGGAACCCAAGGGTCCCACTGCTTAGCTGCTCTGTATGTGCATGTGCAGAGGGCCTGATACCATTCAAAAAGGGGACAATAGAAGGATGTTAAGATATCCCAGTGTTCTGGAGGCAGATAGGCAGGGGAAAGAGGAAAAGAGGTCAAAATGAGGGGACAAAAGAAAAAAAAGAAAAGTTCTCCAGGCCTTTGAGGACCCCGGGAGCAAAGGGTCCTCTGGTGCCCATTCAGGGGTTCTGCCCTCAAAGATGGGTAATGCTTTTCTTTTTCCTTTTCAAAGTGAGAATTGTTGTGCTGCTGAAATATCCTTTTCCTCTGTGTCAGAACAACATCCCAAAGCCATTATTCCCTTTCCAAAGGAGCGGAATTCGCGAAAGGTGTAAAATACAGGAAGGGGCCCGTCAGCGGCGCTGGCAGCTTCGGCCTTTCTCACCGCCGTGCTCCCCGCGTTCCCACGCCAAAAATAACCCGCAGGAAACGCAATTGTGCTCAGAGTCCAGGCAGCGGGCGGAATCCGAGCGTCCAGCGCGGGGCGCAGCTCCCGGCCTAGCTGAGCGTCCTGCCCCCCACCCCCCACCCTGCACTTCCCCCGCCTCTTACAGATTAACTCTTTCGGCGCTGCGCCGTGTCGCCCCCCTGTGGCCGCGAAGCGAGCTACTCACCTGGCCGCAGGTCATCTCCTGGTGCGTGCCAAGCTTCAATAATGAGTGAGAAGGTACCCTGGGAACAGAAAGGAGGGGGCGGGGGGAGACAGAGAGATGGCGAGATGAACAGGGGATGGTGGGGGTGCCTTTCGGCAGCCGGTTTAATTAATCTAATTGCAGGATACAGTTACAGCACCCGGGTCAACATAACGGGTCTGTGCTCGGCAGCGCTCGCGACCAGGGAAGGCGAGCGAATCCCGAGTAGGAGGAGAGTTGAAGGAAGGGATAATATACGGGAGAGTCTTTCGGAGGTGAGGAATAGCCGGGGTGGCAGGTGATGAAAATCATACCCCAAGATCTAGGAGAAGATCGGACGTAGAACTGGGAAGAGATAGACTGGTGAGAGCCTACAGGAGGGTGAGGTCCCAGGAAAGAGTCGGAAAGAAGGATCAGAAAAGAGTGCCCCCCCTCTTTTTTTTGGAGGGAATGAGGAAATCGAGAGAGAGGGTTTGTTCCCACGGAGCCCCCTTCTCTCGTGACCTCCCAATGCGCCCAACGCTGTACTCACCGGCCAGGTGAAATTGAAGGGTAGTTGGAGAGGGTTGCGTCCCCCGCCGCTACTGTCGTCTCCGACGGCGAAGGAGTTGGTGCCCAGCACAGGAGTGGAGACGCTGCCGAAGGTGCAGGGCCCGGGAGAGACGACCGCCTGGAAGTGCTTAAGGCAGACGCGGAAGAAGGTTCGGCAACCGGGTTCGCACGGCCGCCCGCTTGCTAGTACGCCGCGCTCGTTGGCAAACTCCTGCAGCTGCAACTGGAAGACTCCGGAGCCGGCCGCGGGCTATTGCACAGGGACCAAGAGAAGGAAGAAGGGGAGCGGTCAGCTTGGTGGACGCCCGGGGCTCAGGCCCCGGGCGCGGTGGGAGGGAGTGGTGGGGACGTTACCTGCTGCCAAAGTGCCACCAGCAGCAGTAGCGCCCAGCCCGAGGCGCGACAGTACGCGACTGCCATCCCCTGGGGCGTCGCTCTCTCCACTCGCGGGCTAGAAAGCTTTCCCGTGAGTCCCACCGCCGGAGGGGTCCCTGAAAAGCCAGGCTCCGCTCGGGGCTTTCCTTCCGCCTCTCCTTCGCGCTAACTGCGCTCCAACTGCCGCGGTAGGTAATCCAGGTGAGGGCGGCTGGGTGGCAGCCGCTCTGAGGACGTGTCCTCGGGTTAATCCTGGTGCTGTAAGCAGGCTAGTGTCCGGGTACGCGGCACTGAGGCGACTTGAGCTGCGGCTCTTGGCCTCGCGTTCACTGACCGCGCTCAGCGCCGCTACTGAAACCTGCGCTCTCCCGAGCTGTCCTTATATATATTGGCTCCTCTCTTCACCCGCCTGTCACTCAGACTCGTGGTCACTCTCCCCTCCCCTCGGGCCTCTAGCTGCTACAGTTCCAGCGCCGCCCGGAGGGGCCTCCGCCCCCGCCCCCGCCTTCCCCCCTCCCCGCGAGCCAGTCAGGCACAGGTCCCCGCCCCTCTGGGCCGCTCTCACTCAGCTCCTGGGTCCCCCAGCTCAGAGCGTGCCGAGGTGACCAGTTCTCCGCGATTGCGGGGTTGCAGGAGGAGACACTGGCCTTGGGAGGACTAGGGGGAGGACCAAGGGGAATGGGGCGAAAGATGAGCTAATGGTTCCCGGATGGTAGTGGGGGCGGAGACACTGGGGAGTCCCCGTGGGCGGTGTGTACACGGCCGGCGTTAGTTACCTGCAGCCCTCGAGCAGGTAAAGGGAACTTAAGCTCAGAAAGCGAAACCAGCGCTGAAGGACTCGGATCTCCTTCACCCTCCCGGAGCTTCGGGAGCCCTGACGCCGTCGGCCCCCAACCTGTGAGCGTCCACCTGCCCGCGCACCCTACCACCACCCTGCGCAGCAGGGAAGCCAGCGGACGCACTAACATCTCTGTGGCCAGTGCAGACTAGGCGAGGGGCCGAGCGTCCCAGGCTCGGGGGCTCGGTTCCTCCACCTGGTGGGCATCTCCCTCCCCAGTTGCAGGAGGCGTGCCCAGCGCGTGCCTCCTCCCTTCAGCTTCCCGCCTGGGCTCGGCGCGTGCCAGTCCCTGTGCTGGGGGTAAGGGGGCGTGGTCCTCAACAGAGAAGAAGGGGGGCGCGTCCGCAGCTGTATGGTAATGAGTCTGGTTCCGCCTTCAGCGCCTCTTCTCACCTGAGTTTAGCTTCAGCTCCAGTGCCCACCTTCTCCCCCCCACCCCAACAGCCTCAAGCCCCGGCCCCCGCGTCCTGTCGCTCCGTTGGGGCAGGGAGGAACTCTCCCGGCTTCAGAGTTGGCTCCAGCCACCAGAGTCCAGGTGAGGGGCCGAGGTCCGGCAGACCCGGGTCCTCTTCTCCTTGGGTGACATGTAGGTTGGAACTGGAAGCGCGCGGACTCGTTTTGAGTTTCAGGCGGCTTCCCCCAGTCTTGCCTTCGCGTCTTCCCTGGGTGGCCCCACTTCTCAGAGCGGCGGCAGTGCAGCTGCTTTCCCGGAACCGGCGTGATCCCCGGAGGCTTTAGACCCGGGAGGGCCGGCTTCTCCCAGTGTCGGGGGTGTGCAGGAGAGCTCTCCCTCTGCGACGCTGAGGGCGGCGGGGCCCTGTGGCTTCAGCTGTCAGCCCGCCCGCACAGCTATGGCTGTCGTCGGGCGATAAGATCGGTGCGGGGGGAGCAGGGACGCGGCGCGGGCCCGGGGGAGTTTTGGGCGGGGGCACGGCGCAGAGCCCAACAGTTGCCCAGATAGAGTATGATCTGATTTTTTTTTTAAAACTTGAGGGTGGTAGTCAGGATTGGGGGAGAAGGATGAGAAACAAGAGGTTGGGAGCGTGGGTTGGGGGAGGGGCGAGGTGAGGAGATGGGCTCCGGGGTCCCCCACGCACGGCCACCCCTCCCAGCCACCATCTGGCGCGAGCGGGTTGGCGTGGGGAACCGATGTGGGGCGGGGGCCGGCAGATGGGCCCAGGCTGCGCTCCAGAGTTAATGTAGGTTATGGACAGGCGGAGTCCCCAGGCCCGAGGGAGAGGGAGCCCGGGGTTGGCCTCCCAGCGATCTTGACAAGTGGGTTCTCCGCCCATACCCTATGGGTCCCTTAGTCCTGCCTAGGGTGCCAAAGAGTGCCCCTCACTTTCCTCTGAGGTGGTATCCAGCCCTATCTAGTTCTGTCCTTTTCAACCCAAAAATCATTAATAAGAAAAACAAACAAAACCAAAAACCTGGCTCCTTTTCTGGCTCTGGCTCTAGCCTGACACTCAAGGGAAACATCCAGTCCCACCGGAGACATCTTGCTCAGTATTGGAAGAACACTCTCCATCCCTCTACACATCCGGACTAATGCGCCTAAAAGCACTTTACAAACAGTCAAGGACCAAACATAAACATCATCATTATCATCAGAGTCAAGAATTCTTGAAAGGGATCCAAGAAATATAAATCCTCTGACCTGTAGGATTTAACCTGTAGGGTTAAATTATCTTCCTAATCAAAAGGCATTCAGGAAGCACCTATTTGCTAAGGGGTGCTGTTCCAGAAGTTCATTTACTCCCCTAGGACTCTAGGATGTGGTCTTTGGCCCTAAATACCCACTCCAGTCTGCTAGGGTCCAAGCTTTGCTCACATTTGCTGAGCAGGGGCGGGTGGCTTTGTGGGCAAGAAATAAAAATGTGAAGACTTTGCAACTGGGGCTCCTCCACTTTCCTCCCACTTGGAACTTGTAGCCCAAAACGTGTCCTGGGGGCTCTCAGGAGCAAGAGGCTGTGAGGGTGTCAGAGGAGGAAAATCACAGTGGGGTGGGACCCACGAGCATGTGTGTGGACCCTGATCCTCTGCAGATGCTGGGCCACGCTCTGGAGAGGGGGCATGGAAGCAAGGCCCCAGGGACCTGGGCTTCCTCGGACTGACTGGGGCCTTCGAGTGTCCACGGCTCCTCATCCCCACCAGCATCCACAACACTGCCCAACGTCTGGAGCCCAAGGAGGGTCGAGGCCTGGCTTCAGGCAAGGCCCACAGCCTCCACCCCAGGAAACTTTGGATTCTGCTGTCCTCTCCGTTTGGCCGCTGTACAAAGTGACCCCAGCAGGCAAGACCCACACCTGGGGCCCGGAGGGGGCAAAGTTGTCTTGAAGCCTTGCCCCCAAACTGACCCCCAGTGATTAGGGTGAGACTGGGACCGAGGAGAGCCTCAGGCCCCCTCCCTTACTCGGTAGCCTTCGCGCCCCCACCCTGTGGGAGGGGGCGGCGCGTCGTCCCGGCTTCCAGCGCCGTCTTGCACACCCACCTCCGGGACAGCCTTCTCTGCGGGAAGACCTGCGCCCAGGTAGGAGCGCGACAGGGGCGGGGGACAGCGCCCGCCGAGGGGGTCCAGGCGTCGGGGAACTAGTCTGGCTTGGGCGGGGCGCTTAAGCCTTGAGGGGCGCCGCTGCGGTGGCTGCGGAGAAGGGGCCACGTGCAGGGAGCGGCGGCCGGGGAGCTGCACAGAAGGCGGGGAGATTTGCAAACTGTTGCTGCCACATGGCTGCTCCATTCGATCCATTCACATTGAAATGAGGCCGGCGCGTGCCTCATCTGCCGCAGGGCGCTGCCACGCGTCAGCCCGGCCCGCCGCGTGCCAACTGGGGCAGTGGGGCTGGCAGGGCCTGGCAGCCGTGGGGGCGCAGCCCGAGCCCCGAGGCAGGCGGCGGGTGGGGGAGGGGGGCCGAACTACCCTAGCCGCTCAGGCGCCGCAGTTTCGCGGACCTTGGCCCTGCAGTTGGGAGCCAGCCGACGTGAAAGGACCAGGACCGACGGGTTTCGGAGGGGGGCCGGGATCGATGCCGCCGCTCCCCGCAGATGCGCCCCAGCAGCGCTACTCTCCATCTGCCGCTGCTCGCACCTGCCGGTCAATAAATCGATTTTACAATTTAATGCAGCAGCTTCCCGCCCGCCTGGGACAGATGCCGCCGCAGAACCACCTCCGCCCTCGCCCCTCCCCTCGAGGGGCGCCAGCGGTTAGGGCCGGGATTCCCGCTCGGCAGGCGGCGCCCCGCGGGGCCTCGGTCACCTCTCTCTGGAGTCCCTACAAGGAACTGCCTGCTCTGGGTCTTTCCCGCGGGACAGAGCGGGTTTCCCATAGGACAGGCCTGAAGCTGGTGGAGGAGAGAGGAAGATGATGACTTGATGGTGGCCTTCAAGACTTATTTGGGGGCTTCACAGGGGGAAGACAATGTAGTGGCTGATGATAATGATGTGAGAGCCCCTGTGAGAAGGAGGAAGGGGTAGCACCTGGGACACATGTGCTGATAGCCACTGGGTTCTGAAGAATCTCCATGACAGAGCCCAGGAGGTTTGAGGTGGAGTGGGGCCTCTCCTCGACCTCTGCCTGAGTGGGGTAAATAAGCATGATACCGACCTGGCTCTTGGCACTTCTCAACCATATGGTCTTGGACTTGTAATTTAACTATGGTTCTACACCTTAGTTTTCCTATTTGTGCAATGGGGATAAAGGATGGGAGGGCAACTGATTCTGCATTTGCAAATGAGTTCCAGGAAAAAAGAATAGAAAAAAGGAGAACTGAAGGCAGTCATAAAGGATGAGGCAAAGGAGCAGAGAGTGAAAACAAAGAGAAGGAAGGTAGGTGGGGCATGGAAAGGAGACTGGACAGCCTCCGTTGGAAAAGGCCCTGTAAGGGTCTTTTGTGAGAAGAGGGTTAGAAGGTTCTCAACTGAAAGGAGAAGTCTAGAGCTTATAGAATGGGTTTGGATAGAGATGGTTTGCAAGAACCAATTGCCCGTGACCATATGACCCTCCAGCCAGGGCCCAACCTAGGTCTCAAGCTCTCACCCTTCCTCCTTCACAGTGGGGTTTCGGAGCAGAGGCATTGGGAGGAGAAGTCAACTTCTGAACAGCCCTGGTTATTGAGGAGTCTCAGCCCTCCATGCATCAGCAAGAAGGCACACAGACTGGGCTGGCCTGTCCGCTGGTGTATGGCTCATGACTGATGACCCAAATGTCCCA